CAATAGTACTGTATTCAAATTCTTGGCGCGCTCACTGCCCATTACGTAACAACGGCTTAGTTAAATCAACAAGGGCCCCTGATCAATGTGTGGGATTTAGATAAATGTTAATTTGTTTATAATGTGATGTTAAGGCTCAAATTTCCATTACAATGCATCCCTTTAGATACTTTGTTGTGTGTTGCGTACTCAGCTAATCAATGTAATTTTTTCTTTTTTTTTAGAGTTCGCGCCATTCTAAACTTGAAAAGGCAGACATTCTAGAAATGACTGTGAAGTACCTCAGGAACATGCAGAGGCATCAGATAGCAAGTAAGATTCAGTTTTAAAATTTAATCATTTTTTCTTTTCAAGTTTAAAAAAAATATATAACAACATTTAAACTGAAAAACTTGAAAAATCAAAATAAATACCGGTATCTTACAAATATTTTACTTTTAACGATTTTAAACGTCCCTTAATTAAAGAAGACGATTCGTTATTCTAATTTTCAATGGAATGTTAGAAATATGATATATATTATAAACAAGCTAAATAATTCCATTTTTAGAATCTTATTATAACTATGTTAAATTTAAATTCCTTCTTGAAAAGAATTGAAAATTCTGATACGTGTTTTGCAACTTAGATATGTGGCATTAAAGTAGTTTTATCATCTTTCGTTTTGTGAAACTCTTGCTTACAGTTGCATCTATTCTTTTACAGGTGCCATGGCAACCGATCCTAGTTTACTTGGGCGATACCGTGCCGGGTATAATGAGTGCATGGGAGAAGTGTCGAGATTTTTAAACTCTGCAGAGTTAAACACCGACGTACAGGCGCGATTAATTGGACATTTGGCCTCTACATGTCGGTCACCTTCTAGTCAAGCTACAAATTATGTTACCACAACACAAGGTGTCAATTCAATCCAGACAACAGCACCCACTGCTACTAGTTCAAGTCCTGGACACCCAATTCAAATTACTCAAGCTCAACAGATCCCTAGCGCCACCAACGTCCAAGCAGTCCCTTCAGTCGTTGTAAATCACAGTCATACAAGTCCAATGAGCAACAATAACAGCAGCATCGTATCTGGAAATGAATTGTGTGGGTCAAATGTCACACGAGTTGTATCTGGAATACCAATTGGACTACAGTCCCCTACAGGTGAAATTACTGTTGTACTTCCACCACAAGCAGTTGCAAATGGACAGATTCCTAGTCATTTTATTCCAGTATATGCTCAAAGCACCCCTCTCTTAACGCCACCACCCTCACTTGGTTCTCCATCGTCATCACTAGGCAGTCCCAATATCACCTCACCTCAGACCCCGACTACAGTGCAATCAAATAATAGCGCGGTAGAGAGTAGATTCACGTCATACCCCCACACCAGCACATCTCCTGTTGTAATCGCAAATCAACATCAAATGCAAGGCCCAGTGCCTATGGTTCTTCAATCACAACCACCAGCATGCTACACAATAGCAACATCTCCAGTACAGCATCCTGTTGTTGAAGAAAAACCTGTCAAAATGATGGTTTGCAATCAAGTTGAGCAGGCAGCAACAGAAAGCGTTTGGAGGCCGTGGCACTAAACATTTTGTAATAAAGAACTTTTAAGACTGACCAATCAAACGTTGAAATATTCCAAAAAAGAAACATTCTCAAGTTTGTATGTTGTTAAATATGTATTATAAGATATTTATATTTTTTAAGTGTTAATTGTTACTTGAGTGTGGGTGAATTGCGTTCGTGAGTGTTAAGTTAATATGTAAGCTTTAAATCGATGCTGACAAAGGTTTCAATCTGCCTTGTGTTATACATTGTTCTTTATTGCTAATCACGTTTTTATCTATGCAAAGTTTTAAGTTTAAACCATTCTATACATCTAATAACTCTATGCAAGTGCAACGTCTTCCACTGTAGTCAATGTTTACAATGTTGTGCTTTTGGCTTAAGTGTTTGAGTTTGCTATATTAAGTTTTTTAATATTGTTTATCTTAAATTGCTATGATTATTCAATGTGCTCGTCAATTTTAAAATATGATTGACCAAAAAAATAAAAAGAAATGAAACAGTTGTATATCTGTATTGAATTAATGTATTGTGCAATGCTTGTTACGTGGAAGAGAGCCTGGTGTTGTGAGTTGATTATTCTTGTATCTACACTGCATGTACCTGTACTCGTGAATGTGGGCCTAATGCACTTCGAATCCAGCAAGTACTGTATTCCAACTTTTTCATTAAGACAATAAATGGCCTTACCATAAGTACTAAACAATGTTGTGCGAGAGAAGGGGACGTTAGCAATTATTTTGGTCCAAATATTAACACAATAGAAACCCCTCCATTGAGACAATTTTAAGGAACACTTCTTTTGGTCCCAAACTAATAAAAATGACTTCCACAAATCAACTCTATACCCCCGAATAACCCGATCTCATAAGCGCAAAAACTTAATTATTATACAACATGTGAATTACAAATAAAAATAGAATATTAAAAATGTTAAGTCACATTGGAAGAAGAGTACTAGTAGGTCTATATTAGTAATGTGTAGGGAGTGTTGCTCACCTAAAAACGTTAATATCAATACAAAGTTTGCACACAAGACGAGGAAGCTATTGTACCGTTTTACATTTCGTTATTTATACACACCGTTAGTAGGAAGAGATACAAAAATAGACCATCCTACTACTGTAGTTCCTATTCCAACTAGTACCGACATTTACAGGTACCGGATTGTGACGTCAAGTATACGGGCACGGAAATACTTAGATAGCAACCAAATTAGAACGGTAATTGCGTTTTATTCAGTGTTTTTTCTTGTCTTTATTCTTTATTGCAATTTTGTATAAAAAATTGAAGTTTAACAATAACCAATCAATAAAAATCAACACAAAGAAACACAGAAAGAACAGCATTTAACATTTAGAATATAACAAGGTCTAATAATCACGAAAGCCCAATGATAAATATTTAAATAATCAGAATGTTCATTTGTACAAAATTAAAATTAAGATTGAAAAAATAAAATGTCTTAAAATGAAAAAAAAAAAATTGAATACTAAGACGCGATTGGAACTCACGACCTTTGTTTCCACTTAGAACACGTCGTTAACCGACGTGCCATCCATGCGATAGCAGCAATGTACAGTCCTTGCCGAAACCCCTTTTTTGTATGGTAGGTGTATGGGCCACCCTGGGGTCCAACTTTTAAAAAGGGCCATGAACGTTTGTCGGAAATCCCTTCTGTTTATGTGTACAATATTTTCTGCACGTCCGTTCAAAACTAGCGACGCGGATCAGAGCCGCCCATAGTAAAAGATATATTAATCAATGACCAAAAAAAGATCTATTAACCAATGAGCCGAGTACTCCTAGGGCTCCTCATCGGAGCTAACAACGCGCGTAGTTCTCGTTCTCGGTCCCTACAATTGATATAGGCACTCGTCGTTGGTGGCAGTATACTGCGTTTTTAGAGAACCGAGAACCTACAAGTGACTGTGTTTGTGTACTTGAGCGAGTAATGGATTATAAGAGCATTTTGAAATACTGTACTTAATGCTCGTCACGTGACCTTTATTAGTTACAGGTCGTGGGAAAATGGCTTGCTCCCTGAAGGAATGTTCCAAATAGCTTACCTCATGCTCTGTCTTAAGTGCAATACTGTAAATCATTGTCGAACAAAACATTGCACGCTTTTTTCACTTGATCATTGGATGTGTGACATAGATGAACACGCCAAAAGTCACCATGGAGATGATGTTTCCATGATGTGTGTACAGAGACACATGTGACGTCATTGACGTTTAGATATTACTAAACGGTAGGTCTACATGCAATTGACTCTATTTAATATTACGACAGTGATGCCCCGGAAATTTCCCGACGCGGGTACCGAACCACACTGGTATTGGCAATCACAATAACTTTTGTTTTCTTAGTCCGACTTCCACTTCATCGTGACGTCGGACGACGCTGTCCATGCTTGTCTGTTGGGGGAGGGAATTTTCCCCCATACCATCCTGGTTTCGCCATTGTATCGCGATAAAAATGTTTTTGTTTGATCAGAGACTATGTTGATAACAATGATAATAAATAATATTGTATGCTAAATACTGGTGCGTGGTTATACATGATTCAGGTGCGCCGCTCCTACATGGTGTTTGTATGACGTGCGATAGTCGCGCTTCTAAAATACAGTATTACCTTTAACGCCGCCAGAACTTTTTGATAAACAGTTATGTTATAAAACAACAACTGTGTCGAAGTCATCGATCGAACTGCTACGGTACTCATGTTATTTTATTGGTGCTATGCATTGCTTCTCTCCACCCAGGAGTATAAATGGGTACCTGGTGGGGTTGCTTGCTCTTAAGCATGTGGATCCAATGACCAGGGACAGAAGCGCTTCGTATCTGCAAAGAAAGGCGCTATAAAAATATATATGACTATGACTATGGGAGATCATTTGATTTATATAAATTTTAGTCATATGAAAGTCAAGAAGATGAATAGTAAGGTGATTAGGGATGATCGGTCACGTCACTAAAGAGTGTGACACCATGGAGATATCCATGGTGACACCATCACAAGTTTATCATCATTATAATACATCATTTAACTTCTTCGAGTTCCCACCTTCCAGGTGAATTGAAACAACGTCTAAGAATAGGCCTATCCCACATTGGATTAAGATCTGTTGAAGATTTAACAGTGTTTGTACTTACATGGATTTAATAAGAAAATAATTTCATTTATATATTTAATTATCCAGATCCAAAACGTCATTGTATAGTGCCCGGTTGTAAGGCCACACCAGTTAATAACACTCCTTGTGTCTGTCTCTTATACACATCTAGATGTGTATAAGAGACAGAATTATAGGGGACGGGCATGTTTATTGTAGCGCATCATATCTCGCTTTCGTGCCACGTGCCATGCTTCTTGTCATCGAAAGCTATGGACACGAAGAAAAGTCAAAAGTTGAAAAGATCACCCATGGTAATACTCACGAACATGACATTGAAAATACATTTATGAACTTAATCAAGACAAGTAAACCGAACAGTCTGCCGACCTTAAAACTCTCGTTTCGGTAAACCAAAATACGATAGTACCATTACACGAGGAATTAAGCACATAAGGTAATAAATTCGTATCAGTGGTTACAAGGAGACATCAACAGTTTAGTCTTGGCAATCAAAAGTAACTAATTGGACATAAAGATCGCCAAGAATGTGTTGGACATGGTGCTTAAGTCGAACCATGAAGACGAAGTCCCCCTCTTCTCTCTAAAGTGAGTGTCGGTATAAAAACTGAAGTTAATTTGGTGTTCAATCCACATGGCGCCGATGTGCTATGATATTTATAATAATAGGAATTAAGTATCAAGATTGTAATTTTTCTTTCTTTCATAATCATCATAGATGTACGGTAACCATTATCAACATAATCATTATCAAATAATAATAATAACACCATAATAAATATTATAATTAAAGTTAACGTTTATTTTGTTTGTTTTGACTTGTTTTACATTATTATAATTTTCATATTTAGGCTTATGAAGTGTAATTGTTAATTACATTTTTATACTATTTAATTATTTTTTTAAAATGTAATATAATGCTGATTTTGTTATTGTCTGATTGATAATTTTGTATTTAGATTTTTATATTAATTGTCATATTTTTATAGCTATTTTTATTATTGATGTTCAATGTTCAGGGAGTTGGAGGAGCACACCTTTTCCGATGAGAGGTCTACTATAGTTGTGTACAACTTTTTCCCCTCCTCAACCTTCCTCCTTCTTCGTCCTTGTCTTTGTCTCTTGTGTTTTGTACTGCTAGAAGAAATAAAATAAAATACCATTATCGTTGTGATCGTTGTTACCGTTGGTATCGCTGTTACCGTTGCTATCGCCATATTTGTCATTATATTAAAGATTAAATTTTCCTTTTTTTTGTCCAATTCTAAATATTTGAAATTAGACATTTCGGGAATTCATAGGAGTGTGAATCCCCTCCCATGTATTACAAGCATTTTGTCTAGATTCTTTAATATTCCGGTAGTGTCATTACCCGAGATGACACCCCATCACGTAACGGCAGCAGATACTTCAAATATAAATAATAAGAATAATCGTATCGCATTTCCTCAACACCGCTATTGCTCAATATGGCATAAGGTTATGTCACGTGATTCCCATAACCATTCCTCTATTATTAGAAAATAATTTCATCCGCCAATCTGAATCGAAGTGAGAGTTCAAAGGTCATTTTTCCCCAATAATCTCGCAGTTCATTACCTCGTTTCACAAGGCCTACATTGGATATCATGGCAAAGGTTTAATTTTGGTTTTGGGGAAATAACTGATATGGTTGGCCTAGTTTAGATTACATTAAAACATAAGTGTTCATAGAAAATATAGGCTTACACACATTAAATTGGTATGAAAAAGCTAGTTTTGTTAATGTTCAGGGATTTTTATGTTTAGGGGTTTTTTTTATGTTTGTATACGTATTCACCATTCGTATTATATTGATTTTTATATTTTATGATAATTGTCCTAAACAAGACTATTTGTAAAAACAGCCTTACATTTTGTCTGAAATTGTATCCTGTATAAGTATGTTAGTATATATGCTATCTATAAACGGTGAGCATTTAATTTAATATTGAATCGAGCATATTTAATTTAATGATGTATGATGGATATGGAACTGCCACTTTGAAAATATGAGCACTCTTGACAATATACTAACCTCATTGTATTATGTCAAGTGTGTAAATTAAGGAAAAATAGAGTAACAAATTATAGAGTCTTAATAACACTCCTTGTGTTTTCCCCGGGGGCCGAAATTTACTAATATGTTGCGTACAGAGGAAATTCTAAATTTACGCCGCAATAACGTGGATTATGATTGACATTCGATCCTATTTACTCAGGAGTCGGATCGGAAGCAAAATGATTGCGGCCAACACGCTCTGTTGCGTATTGGTATCATAGCAACATAATACTTGTTACTGTTAAATACTAAAGTGAAGAAAACTCAAACTAACAAAACAGTGGCACGT